TTATTAGCTATGTATGATTCATTTGATTTCAGACATTAATCGGAACCACTGAATCACTGCCAGACTTTATATACATTAAGATCGTATTGTTGTTAGTTAAAATTTTAAAATTAAATGAAAAAATAGAACAACTATCACAAAGAATATTTTAACCCTGATTTTCAAGCATTGAAGCTCTCGCTATCCTAGTTGTTTATTTTAAGCTGGCAAACACATTTTGTTTCCAAAGGCTCACCCGCTTCGAATACGTCATCGAACGAACGCCTTCAAATGTTCTATGTTTATGGTGTAACCACCCCGCAATGCCAATGTCAATGACTGAACACAGCGGTTAAAGGCCACTGACAGAACGAAGATATAATCGAAACGGCATTAAATGAACGATATATTAACAATATTGTATACCAAATTAATTATTAATAAACGTCAATTGTAATTGTACTGATAACGTAAAAGACTCAAACAATCATTTTCTGCCCCGACTCGATCGAACAGTCTCTAGTATCTCAGAAATGGGGTCGTCACATCTACCGTCTTTGTTTTTAAGCTCAAAGACCGACAAATCTTAGGTAATCATGATTTTTCGTATATCATAATATCCAGATCTAATTGCGATTCATTTAAAAGTTTTTTTTGTATTTAAACGAATTCCAATTAGGTTTTTAATATATAATATATATAATAATAACGCTTAGTGGCTAAGCCCTTATGATACGGGCAACCCAGACCGATTGTCGTGGAGACCCATGGGGGAGGCCTTTGCCTAGCAATGGGCGTGAACCGGCTGATATGATGATGAGGAATAACGATACTTTCACCAAAATGAAAATCCAACTTTATCGGAAAGTATTCAACTAGAAAATTTTATGTATTGGAGAACATTATAAAAAGTACCATATTTCTATATTAGTAATTTACTGCAAAACTTATAGAGCACATATCAGAATCCGCTATGATGCGATACCAAATGTTGTAAAAGATAAACACACAACAAAACAGAATTACTGCCATTTAGTTTAAAATTTTCATCAATGTCTACATTCTATATAGTAATATAATAATAATATACTATAGGTAATAATATGAAATCGATTAATCTATAATACTCAGATCGCTTCTGCTCTGTGACTCTGTCCTGTATCCGAGAAATGGATATGACACGAGTAGAAAGAAAAATTTAATAAATCCCATGATAAATAATTATGGTTAATCATATGATATTCCCAATGTTGGAAAACTCGTTAAAACACAAGAGAAGGTGATTACACCCATCGGTGGACATTGGTTCACGATGGGACCTACAGGAATGGGGTGTTAACTACTACAGTATAAATGCAGCTAGAACCGACAAACGAAGCTAGAGAAGAGAAAAAAAAATCTAGAGGATGACGCAAAAGAGTATTAAAAAAAATACATAAACTAAACAGTATATTAGTTTTAGCAGAACAAAAACAGTTTCCTTTAATCGTCACAACATAATGTAATATTTTATCGGCAAACATCCGTTTATATACGATTATTTTATGTATACATTAACAATTTACTGTGTTTTTATGGCTATTTATCAATGGGATTGAATTCACGCCAAATTCGAAGGTTCAAAATGTCGTAGAACCTTATAATGTTGACGTCAAGGCTCAGTGACAAATATTCAACAAGATATTTTGTATTTAAACTGAATAATGGTCCGTTCGTTCCAAACTACATTTGCCACGTCTATACCTCATAATAATCAAAGATACATATATTATTATATTTGATAATTTTTTCATTGACAATACTATTTTATGAAAAAAGCTATAAATTTTTCTAGCATTTTTCATTTTATATATTTATTACAAATATTATGACTACATGTAGAAAGTTATTCTATGAATTTGCCTTTTCCTGCGTCGTTGCGGTTTTGGGTAGGGATGCAACGATACCACTTAGGTATCGATACTTTTACTCGATACCGTATAGGTCACAAGGTATCTGATCGTACTCGGTATCGAATGAAAAGAATCGATACATACTTGTATCGAATATTTCTAAAATGCCTCAGCAGATTTGATACTATTGATACAGCAATATTCTGTTTATGAATGTGAAGCAGGTCCAGGCATAAAAAGTAATGCATATAGTTATTCAAAATTTTGTTAGCAGTGACCTCTGTAAATAGATCTCTAACATAAAATTAATAATAGTGATTAGCAGTGTTTCGTCACACCACAGTGACGCCGCGCCTATGGGATTTTTTTATGAGAACGACTTTACAGACTTTACCACAGAGTAAACAGTCATATGACTGAGTTTAATGATTTTCCACAGTGAGTGACCGACTAAGTACCGATACAAATATTTACTTCACGATACTACTTGTTACTCGGTGCTAAAGTATGTTATCGAAAAAAAACTTATCGAGTAACTTGTATTTAGTCGTATCGTTTAGTTTTGGGTAAGATGGGAAATTTAATAACTCGCACAAAGACGAACCAGTTCGTTACTTCTTATTACTTTAGAATAGACAATTCGTGATATCCCACGAATGTAATGACCAAAATAATGAAACACATTGTAAAAACTAAATTCCATAATAGATCTTCTCTTTGGAAATTATTGATTTCGATTTGAGAATTTAATGTTTACATTAAATTAAACACTTTAGGTAAAACCACAGTGTAAAAAACTGTAGTCAAAGTAATATGTACGTGTGCACGAATGAGTTATTATAACAGGTTATTTATTATTGTTGATAAAACTATATCGACGACTCGGTCATAAGAAGGCGGACCGTTGACGTAAACGAACCAAATACCACAGCAAATGGTATGCAAATTATGATAATTTAACTTAATAATGGAAGAAACTGGTTGTGTTGTTATTTGAGATGATTTGCATACAGTTTCCTTTAAAAGAATTATAACTTCATATTATATAAAGTAAGTCGGTCTCCATTAGAAATCCAATTCATTGAATTTCCATCAAGAAGCTTGAGAAATTTTAGGGTATAATTTATAAAAAGTTTCACTAAAATCTAAATTTTGTAATACTCAACTTCGAAGTAGTACATCTTTCAAGGAAAAATTAATGGCCTAGCGACATTCAAAGTCATTCACACAAACTTAATAGCCTGTTTAATGCATTTTTATAATTGGTTGCATTAACTTCTCTTGGTGTATTTTTGAATGCTAAAAAATTAAATGAAGTGAAATGAAATTTCTTCTTTGAGAACTGTATCATTGCGGATACAAAAAGTAAAGCGCGTATATGCGTATCATCATCACCGATGAAACTTTCGTATTTATAATGTTATCAGGCAGTAAGCAGTAGTACGTCATATCATAGCTAACTATCACATTCGACACCATACTCTATACATATATTGACTTTCGCCTGATGACACGAGCTGAATATCTAAACGGAAACACGTACAGGACTCGCTCCAAATACCTAAGTACGTGAGCTGCATGAAATAACGATCTACGTCATACGTGAGAAATACTCGCTAGATCGCATTGAGGAAATCCGTTGTATTTCTAGATAAAATAATTAAAGCACTCGTGTTATTGAAATCGGAAACAATGAAAGTAACATAAATACTCACGTTTGGGAGGAATAGAGTTCGTTCCTTAGATTAAGAATCGAATTTCAAGAGATGGCGAAGGGTAATAGCCATAAAGCCGGCTTGAGACAAGAAACCACAGAGGTCGTCAAAACATATTTGCGATTGGAGCGTCACTAATCTCTATAGATTCGTAAGGGAACATAAACTGTACATTATTAATTATGACCTTAAAATGTTTTCTAAGACGGTTTATCGAGTTATTAAATAGCATAGAATACAAGATATCCAATGTTAACAACTTCAAATAGGACTAACCGCAGCAGCTAATTACTATTAAATTATCTATATTATCGATTCTTGCACGCACGAGAATATTCCATGGATTTGCAATACGATATATAAATAAGGATTACTAATAATAATTTAGGTACCATTACTTCTGCTTTATAAGGAATCATCATGAGTTTAAAATGTAAAATCTGAATTATCATAGCACAATTGATTATTGAAATAGGTCCTGTTTTTTTTTATAGTTTTCATGGACAAAATTATATCAATTAGAAAATGATTTAAAACCAAATTTCAAATTAGGCTGTACATTTTCAACAACTTCCATATTGAAAAACATCCATGTTTTATATAAATGTAAATTAGAAATAAAACTTATAAATAAGTATTGAGTAAATCATAGTTAAATCCAAATTCGTGACAAAAAGACACTGATAAGTATCACTTAATTTTTTTTTTAAGTATTTTTAACACAAAACCGGTTTTTGTAATTTTGCTACCGATATTAGCCATTTATAGCGTTTTACTCTATATGCTCTATGTAATCTCTGATAACTAAATAAGTGGATGATGAACTGGCTGCATGCCAAAAATGCAGCTTTGAATATGAAGGAATCGGAGGAAGCGTATTCCCTAGAACTAGAATGGATATCGAGGAGTCTAATATTATTGATTTGTATGGCTCTTATAATGACGATATTGCGTAATTCTGGAAATAACGAAAGTTATGAAACTTTCGTTGTCTTATGTCATGTCTCTGTCAAATTAACGGTTTAAATATTTAATTGTTTCTTTAAAGGTTAAAACACATATATTATTACCATTAAACGGGTCATTCTTTTTTCTCATGACATAAATTGCTAAAAATAGAGCTATTTTAATCGGAGCTTGATTTGCGCTAACACGTTCTGTCTTTATCTATCTCATCGTCGATCTCGATGTTTTGTCTCATTTTCTCTGCAATTTTACGGCCATTCTTAATTAAAAGACCGCCTTCTTTCAATCGAGTGGCACTTTTAAACCCAAAACACTTTAAAAGATCATCGAAGTATAACCATTGTTAGATACTTTAAAATTAACGACAGAGTGTATACTTCAAAAATTGAAAGATAATCAGTATTTAAAGAAAAGAGTATTTAAATTTCTACTGATTGTATGAACTTACCTTGGCACACAGATGGAGTGATATAGACCATAGTTTCTTAGCACGTGCAAGAATTCAGGCAGCGTCCGGCAAGCACCCATCACACTGAAGGCGGCTAGGGCGGAGTTCCACACCATCAGGGTGCGCCGGAGCTCAAACCTACGGACAGAGGAATAAACACGTTACTAAAGACAGAGGAATAGGCACGTTCTTACTGTTGTATTTTATGACATGACATCAATGAGATTTTAACGTCCCAGATTTCAACATAGTCGCTTATTACGAGTCGAGTTTATTCTTCTTGTATCTAGGTAAATATGGTAAATACTACTAGGGTCCTAGACTAAAAATATTAAATTATTTATTAACGTTAACGGCGTTAACTAATTAAATATTAACGATTTAAATTTATTAGACGGTAAGTATTCCAAATAATGAAAAAGTTAATGTTAGCTTTTTCAAAAAATGCATGATGGGTGACGTACAATTGCATGAAAAATTGCGTTGGAAAATTTTAAACGATCACTTTATTGATTCAACAAAATAATATTTTATGTGATCATACAAATATCGTTTACGCGAATCATCTGGCACTGGAATATGATAACAAATATAACTAACTCATCAATCATGGCGAATATCAATATGGACGTATGGTCCTTCGAGCATTCACGATTTTAACTTGGCTGATGGATTTTGTGGACACAACTTTCTTATATGTGTAAATCATATCACACGAGTTTATTCTCTCAAAATACTAGTAGGAGATAAAAAAATAATATTAACATTCATACATAAAAAGTTTTTTTTAAATATTAAACTAAGGAATATAGTTATTTGAAAAAAGAAGTTGTAACATTCTATAATCTCTCTCTCTCAATATTAAGTTCTTATTAATAAATAAAATACAAGTTTATGTATGTATTTTTACGAATGGATAAACGTCGATTCCACCGTTACTGACGTCATTAGATATCTTGCGGCTATTTAGTTAAGTAGAATATAACCGTAAAATGTAAAAAAAATATTTAAAAGATTGGGGAGAATATTTTAAAATATTCGGAAAAAACAGGCCAACGACCGATGATAAAAAAAAATATCTACTGTTTTAACAACATCAGTTGCGTAATTAATCATCTCCTCGACATAAGGTCAAATAAGTCGTATTATTATTTTTCGAGGCTTGACTGATTTTGTACCCTTGAATTAGTGCTCGATGTCAATTTATAAATTATAAGCGCGACTTGGCGGAAGCACTTCCATGTTCCTAGATATAAATATGTGTACTAAATAGTATGCAATATCGTCTTCTTGGCCGTCGCGGTCACGTTGATATCCACGCAATATATTAAATATGATAATTATTCAAGTTTCTTAAAAATTCAAAGTGCCATGCTCCCATAATCAGCCGGTATACACGTGCTCCGAACGTTTTTATAAGCAGTAAATAATGATTTACAATTTATTGGTGATCTCGAGGACGTCATGATCCACCTACTTACCGGTTTAGTGAAAATATTAATTCATCTGGCAACACCTGGCCATTTTTTGACCTCGATAGATGACCTGAAGATGGCATGTGCCATTATATAGATGCACATTAAAAACTCTATACTTATTATGCATTATAATGAGGAATGATTTCATTGTTTGTTTGCATCGAATAGGCTATAGGCATCGCTTAAAGTTAGGACCATGCATTGTGCGGCGCCTAACACTGGGCATTTGCGTAATGTGACTTATACATTTACTCTTTGGTCATAACGGATGTGTCAAGGGATAAAATCAATTAAATAAGTTGGAACCAAGGAGTTTATATATTAGAATTAAGATATAAAGTCGTTAATACCCTCCCGTTCACAATCCATTAGGAAGGCCTGAACCCCTGCAGTGGGGACGTAAAAGGACTGATGATGATGAATTAAAATAACTGATAATATGTGTAAACAAATCGGTATCAATGTTTGTTTGACATACCAGTAAAATAGACAATTAAAAAGTCAAGGTTCGGTCGACCTTCCATCGGAAGTGTGCTAATATGTTAGGTATACAATTATATTGAGAATTTTCGTATTATACTCGTACCAAGATCTTTAAAAATAAATCCGTATTAATGTCTACCAATTTTTCTTCTATCCGGTTTATCATAAGTTTAAAACGTATTTAAGAAAGAATAAATTTGTGTTATGTAATAGAAGATGGATTTTAAAAGGATAATATTGATATTTTGTTTGTTTACAAAAATAAGTCTACCAACCAAAGTTCATGGGTCCAATTTCAAAAATCTGCCTACGCTCAGAGATTTGTTTTGTAATCTTCGAATATTAGAAGATAGATTAGAAAAGATAAAATTAATATTTTTGTTTGTATCTTGCACGGCGATGATGAAACAACCAGGACAAGTTCTTTTATATGTCACCTTATAAAAAAACTTGTCCTTTTTTCGCATAAGGTCTTTTACATCGTGCTCGTAAAGGTATCAAGCACAAAAAACGATACGTCAAACCACGCACTAAACCCGCATGGTACCCGTAATATACCCGTTCACAAACAACATTTTCTTGAAATATTTTCGAGGTTCTCTACTAGACCTTCCCGTCACCGACAAACACCAAAGCATGGCAAGCTCGCGCGCTCCGCAGATTCCAGATATTCCCGAAATTTTTGGGCTAGGGAATCCTTTACCAAAATGTACTGACACCTTAGACCCTATAATCAAATTACGTCTCGTATTGGTACAAAATACTTGGACTTTGTAATTTATAGATGGATCCTTTAAAACACTTAAATTATATTAAAAATAATATTTTCGTATTGAAGTGGTCTAGTAAAACTATGATTTATCTTTATTAAGCGATTTAAAATTAAAGAACATCAACTAAGAAACTATTATGTTGTTTACATATGCATTGAAAATATTTCAACAAAAACCATATTTGAAATTAAATTTCATATACATGCCTTCTTAATACGTTATAGTACCTACTCGGAAGAAAGTATGAAAATTCCAAGGTCTATATGTATGTTGAGAAAAATCAAAGATCGACAAACTTTATACACCCTAATATCGTAATAAATTTTTCATATATTATTGTTTACCTCATAAGCTGTCTTCGCGTATCAAATTATACTTTTAAATTGATTATGTTTCATTTATTTTATGTCAATAATTTTATTTACGACATATGTGATGGAGGCTGCTGGCGGGTGGTCGGCAAACGATATGGTAGTATTATTTGTTTATTTCTAACTTAAGTAATTCTCATTTAGAGCAGCAAAGAAAAACACATTTTCAGTCATAGTAAAAGCCATGTAATGCCACGCCATACAGTATACAAACTAGTACGATCGACTACCTGTGTATCAAAAATCTGTAGGTAATGTATTAGTAGGGTAACCAATAGTCGGGAAAAAAGATTTTATGTTATATCCGGAGTTAACTTTTTAAATTGATGAAAGTTGAACCTGAATGAAATGTTCAAATTCAAGATATTATTGAAGATACTTTAGACAGTAAATTTGCTGTATAAGATGGCTAAATAATAAAGATGTGTTGCCGCTTCTAACAGTTTCTGAAAATTTTGTTTTCAACTCCCATATGTGATTGTTGTACTAGTATTGTACTAGTATACTAGCATTATAAAGAGGAAAGATTTTATTGTTTGTTTGCATCGACTAGGCTGTGAAACTACTGAACCGATTTAAAAAAAAATTTTTATCGCCCACGGGTAACGGGTACGTTATATAGACATTTTCGCATGCGAAAACATCTTGTTATTGAATAAAAAATAATTTTAAGAACAACAAAAATCCCGACTGCGTAAAAACGAATTTAAAAAAATACATGAAAGAATTAACTTGAATAAAAACTAAAAAGAAAGAAACAAGCCCAGTAGTTTAGAATTGTGTTAAGTAATACAGAACAGAACGACTCATAGTCGGGGCCCCTTGGGAAGATTTGATTGGTAAAACATCCAAATTTAAGAATTAACTTAAATAGTGTTTATTTAAGTTAATTCTTTCATGTATTTTTTTAAATTAGTTTTTACGCAGTCGGGATTTTTGTTTTTCTTAAAATAATTTATTTTTATTTTATACTTTTTAGTTACGATTCGTTGACTTCGTTATAAGATGGTGAATTTCGCAATCAAGTTATTTCATTGAGGGAGTTAATATCGTGGGGATTATCAAGTAACTTGCGGTGGTCTAAACTACTGATGATTAGTCCCTCTAGAGACCTAACTCAGCTCAAAGCTACATATGCTTTATTTTTTTACCAAAAATATTTGTTCTTCATGCCTTTTCACTGTTTTTTTTTTTTGTTTGTATATCGCTTATACTTTAAATAAAAACTTAAATCAATAAGTAAGAAAATTAGCGAGAATGATTGTTTTGTTAAACAACTTTAAATCGTTATATATCCTAAACTATTATTTAAAATGAAAAATGATAAAAGGAACCTAAAGATGATTTAAAAATGCCCATTCAACTACACCCCACTTGACATAGTTCATCGATTTTTATTTTTTTCATTTAGACAATATGGCGTCTTTAGTGACACTCGCAAGGTTAAGACGAATCGATTGACGTAAGAATCATCAAAATCGGCCTACGCATTTGGTCTCTAGAACGCCACATAGAAACAAACATACATACATAGACTGATAAACACATTACCCTCCTTTGCGTCGCGCAGACGGGTAAATAACACTCTTTTGCATTAAAAATTCAACTTATATTTTCCAATTCTGGTTACTCTCTAAATAACGTTTGAAGTTTTCAAAAATCTCTTTACTGTTTGTGTTAGTGCTTCATTATATCGACAGACAGTTGCAGTCATACTATGTAAGTAATATTATTATTAATATAGACTTACATTTTAGTTACAAATCATTTGTATGGGAAAAAGAAAAGGGCTATTTTAGGGTTTTTCCAGCAATAATTCTAATTTTTCTCGCCGTAATAACCATCCTTGAACTTCAACGAACATTTTAAAAAAAGATTGGCCAAATTGGTCGAGGCGTTGTTGAGTTATGCGCTTCCAACACATTTTGCGATTCATTTTTATATATATAGATTACGTACTAGCTGTGCCTGCAACTTCGTCCGCGTCAAAGTCCCGTCAAAATCGATCCAGCCGTTTCAAAGATTAACCGGAA